GGATTAAAATATTTAATTAAATTATCTCAAATAAACCTTCATTTCGGTGCAATATTGAAATTAGCTGAATTCTTCATAACCTCTGAATAGTGGTTGACCCAACGAGTCACGGTGTTCTAGTGTTCAGTAAAAACATTTAACCTTAAGAAATGAGACTTGTAGCAGTAACCTTGAATCTTAATGATATAAGGTTGAACAAAAATTAGAACATTTAAAGGGCTACTACAGTAGTAGTTTGCCTTGAATCAAAAGGAATATAAAACATTGCAATATACAGTGTACATACACTAGTTGTCCAAAGTTTGTGTGGTTTTTAACTGAAAGAGTCAACAGGAAAGATATATAATTAAATCTGTTGTAACCCGAAACTTTTTCTTTTCTTTATTATGTTTAGGGTACTGGCATATCATATTTACGATATGTCTTAGTCACAATCATATATGTCAGGTTTTGTTATTTCCATTAAATTTCATTAAGTGATGTCTATTTAAAATAACATCTTATACACAAATAGCTTGCAGCATTCGAATAATAACTCTCTTAGGCCTATAAAACTAAGCCTTTTAAAATGCTCTTTTTGTACTAGCAACAAGTTACATTAACAAAGAATTTGCATTACACCTATAAGAGAATAGGACTGTACTGTGATTTGTTTTCTACATTGCATGGTAGTTTAATGTTTACTGGGCCAGGCTTTACAAATGAATGTGTATGTATAGTCACAGTTCACTACTGATGAGGATGTTTATTTCACTAGTTCCAACAGTTTACTATTAATTTAGGCTTTGAGCTATACAAAAGTCTTGTTTATTTACATATCTATTCTCAACTACTCAACTCAGTCTCTCTGTTCCATTCAATGTCAGGTATGTGTTCAGTAAATAAATTACTTCCTAGAAACAAGTTCTCTTATCTAGTGTGTTTGTGTGTCTAAAGTTGACTTCCATTGTTTGTCAGGTGATAAGCCATCAATTACTAGATGGTTGTTTTTTTTTGGGAGGGAATGAGCATGAATTACTAGGTGTTTTTTTTTGGGGGGGGAGGGGTAGTGATGTTCACTAACATTGGATTTTAAGTTTTGTTGAATGAAAACTGAGGGATA